AAAAAAAAAAAAAAAAAAGAAAAAAGAATGGATTAACACCTAAACACTAAAAAATAACCCTAAAAACCTTTAATATAAAATAGAGGTATTACTGATATGCCTAATAGAAAAGATTATCAGATACATTTCTTCATCCTTTTCTCCTTAGGTGAAGTATTTTGTCTCATTTACCTGGGTAAAACAAATAAAAACAATGCTGGTTTATATAGGGAGTACTGTACTTAACAATTAAAAGAAGTGTGACTCACACATTGGTAATTTAGATCCTCGCTGTGTCCTACTGAGAAAACCTCAAGTAATATAGTTGGTATTACAAAGAATTTTTTGAGGTATTACAGTGATTTACATATCTTAAACAGAACTTTTTCTTTTTATGTCATTTCCCAGTTATGTATATGGTACTAGGTGCTATACAGGTTGACTTTCCCTAATCCAAAAATCTAAAATCTGAAATGCTGCAAAATCTAAAACATTTTGAGCACAGACATGACAACTCAAAGGAAATGATCATTGGAACATTTCGGATTTTGGATTTTTAGATTAGGAGTGCTCAACCAGTAAGTATAATGCAAATATTTCAAAATCCAAAAGGATCCAAAATACTTCTGGTCCCAAACATTTCAGTTAAGGGATACTCAACCTGTATAAATAAAGGATTACATGGTCAAATAAATTTGGGAAAAGCTGACTTAAGGTTTACTGTGTTGCTTTATTGTAGGACTTCTGAGAGTCCTGGAGTACTTTAATATACTAATGTATGTTGAAAATATGTAAAAGAGCTATACACTATGCAGTGTTTCCCAATCAATTTTGAAAAAGTGTTTCTTTAGGTTGGGTGGTGGCTCACACCTCTAAACCCAGACCTTTGGGAGAACAACATGGGAGAATTGCTTGAACCCAGAAGTTGGAGGCCATGGTGAGCTATGATCATGCCACTGCACTCCAGCCTGGGCAACAGAGCAAGACCCTGTCTCTAACGAAAATGTTTCTACAGACCTTTTTTCCTTAGATGGGGAAGGTGAGGGACAAGGAAGACAGAGCATCTCCTCAGGGCATATGCCTTGGGGTCGGGTGGAGTAGTGAGAATCAGAATTATCCTAGAAAATCCATAATATGCTATCATACATTGACATGGACATGATGCAGACAGACCATAATGGCTCTGGTGCAGCCCTATAAAAGGAGCCAACACAGCAGCTCTGAGCTTACAGAGCCTGAAGTATGAAGCAGAGTTATCACTAGAGCTCAAGGTGACTCTGAGGGCTAAGAATTATTTCTCAATTTTATTTGATCTTAGAACTTTTATGTATTTTATGTATTTTATTTTATGTACTTTTTAAGAGTATCTTATGAGATTACTGTTGCACAGAATAAATTTTGGGAACTACTGTTCTGATATATATGTTTTCTCTAAAACCTGTCATTTGAGTTTTTTTCAAGGATTAAGATGGGTCTTAACCTTTTTTCCCTGGCAGTGGTTAGTCATATAGCTCAGGGTCTTGGAATGGATCAAAACCAAGTGGCCCAAAAAGATTATGGGAAGAAGAAAGTTCCTTATGAAAGGAATGTTAGTACCATTATGTTTAAATGATAATTCTATAAATGGTATCCTAGAGTACTAGTAAATATATGCTGCTTTTATAACAATCTTTTTTCCTTTTAAGAAATAGGATTAGATCTGGGGAGATGTTAGTATCTTTTTTGTTTGAAGTTGGTAGAAGTGGGTTTTGATTCATCTGTTCATTCAGTTGGGGAAAATGATGTTGAGTGACTTACTAACAATACCTAGAAAGCTTGTGTCTATTTTAAGATCCCACTTTGAAGATAGCTGACATCCATTTGATTTATCAGATCATAGACATTCCACGTTCTTTTTTTCTTAGGAATGTGGCATCATCACCTCTATGAAAAAGTAGATTTGTTTAGAATGGGAATACCCTTAAGTATCATATGATCCTCCACCCAAGTGGTTTGTAGTTCCTTTGCACTGGTAGTCAGGGAAAGAAACAGATACCTGAGTTTTGGCTCATATTGTTTTTTTCCTTTTGGGTTCCTAGTGCATTTTTTTGTCCTTTGGAGCCAGTTTTTGTTAGATTGGTACTTGTCTGTTTTCCCCAGAAATAAAAATGGAAAATCTGAGTTGGACTTTGATACAGATCAATATGACATCCTGGTATCAGACTTTGACACAGAAGAAAAAATGACTGGCGGTATTACCTCTGAGCTGCCAGAAACAGAATATTCTTTAAGGGTAAGTAAGAATGGTTTTTCAACAATGAGAGGTAAGATTTCCTATAACCTGAAAATTTTATAGAACAAGATCTTCTTTTAGTTATTCAAAGATGACAACCCTCCAGCCATGTGCTAGTATTCCTTTTTATTGTCTCAGTTGAGACAGTTTAGATAATATAGTCAACAGTACTTTAGTGTGGTAGTTTACATAGTGTAAGAAGGTATAGAAATGGAGCCAAATCTTTGCCCAGCATAGAATCAGGTGATAGCAGTGTTTTATGGGGATGTCAGCAGAATTGGCAATATCACATAACTTTCCCTTCACCATTCTATTCCACAGGCATTTTGTGGTATTCTATACATGAAGCCACGGATGAAAATTTTTCTGCGTCAAAAGAAGGTGACTACCCAGATGATTGCCAAGAGCCTGGCCAATGTAGAATATGATACATATAAACCTACCTTCACAGTATCCTTACAACTATACCACTACATGAAGTTGACCTTTTTATTTCAGGATTAAGTTTTCAGGTTGACACAGAAAAACAAAAACTTTCCCTTTCCAATTCAAAAACATATGTCATAGTACACATTCTATTATAGTGTACTCTGAGGAAGTCTTTCTTAAATGCCAATCTATGTACCATTTTTATCAGAAATCACCTGGAAACTGTTGAAATAATAGAATCTTGAGACTGGAGATTCTGGTTCAGTAGCGTCTGAAACCTTTTTTTAAAAAAATAAGAAATATTTATTATTTTAAAATCCTCAGCTGATTCTAATGAGCAGCCAGGTTTGAGAATCTCTACTGTAAGGAATAATACACATCATTTGGTTTGTACTGGGATTTTGATATATATTAAATTTACTGAAATAAGCAAAATACTGACTAGAACTTCTTAATCTTGTAGATACACTGCAATTTTTTATTGTAACAGGTCCAGACTTACATTGATTGAAGTTAGGAAAGTGGAAATTGAAAGTTGATTTTCTAGAGTGAAATAAATCTTCTTAGGTTTGACATAAATTCCTGGTACTTCTCATAATGGTAGCCACTCAGAGGAGCCATTGCTTTTTACTTCTACCTCTCCCCCGCATTGCATCGAGAATGGATTTCAGAGACTAGAAAAAAATCTTAAGATGAACTGTGGATATTAGGTACAACTTCGTTGATGGCTTTTGGGGCAGAAAATGTTTTTGAAAGGCTGAAAACTTGCAAGGTTATGAAAAATTGTCCTTTTAATTTATTTTCTAGTAACTAAGCACAACTCTTGGCCTGAGAAACATGCTCACACTCTATTTGCTTTATCAAAGGCATTATGTAGCATGCTTTGTCCTTCCCTGACCAAAAATGAGAAATCGTTGGTCTCTTTTTTCTCCTTTTTGGAAACACATATCTTGGCTACTAGGAATGTTTTCTTAAAGCACTAAACAAATCAATTTAATAAAGCCAGAGCTAGCATTGTTTGCTTCTATAGGTGAATTAATTATAATCTCACCATATGTAGACTAGGATATTAGTACCATAGGTTTAACAGAGCCAGTCTAAAGAAGTGCTTTCCAACTACTGTTTTAGGATATAATACATACCTGTCTCTAGCTTTTTTCTTTTGTGGGTTTCTATCCGGGAAACTTTTATGCATGCATTCTATATGTTACCTCAGCTCTTCTCAGACTCCCTTCTCATTAAACCAAATTACCTTCCAATATTATAGTTTGGACTAAACAGATTTACTTTAGGCATGGGTAAAATGAAAGTCCTAATAAAATTTCCCCCAAGGTCACTGAGGAACAAGATCATTGATACTAACTTACTTACTTCTCAATTGTCAAAGTCCACTTCTTTCATCTTTGTTCTGTCTCCTTGCACTAATTTGGCAAGTCTCCTACCCCAGTGTACCCTCACTCCATAATTTGGAATTTTAAAAGTGCACAACAGAAAGAAAAATTTGACAATCTTTATCTTTACAAAGTTAATTTTATGGCATAGGATTTTGGTTTGTTTGCTTGCAGGAGTTTTGTCTTGTTTTGTTTTTGCATTAGAATAGGTCTTATTTGAGGTTTTATGTGAACTGCTAGAGTCCAGAACATTATATATTCTGAGCCAAACATTACTGTGTTATGCACCCACTTGAGTCATGTCTTTGTGTCATATGTGACCCATTTGTTATAGGGTTTTGATGCAAGTAGCTTGTCTTTTAAAGGGGGCATGGAGATCATTTTTTGAATAAGTGACAAAAATAAATTTTCATTTGACTCATTTAGACATGAAGGTTTCTTAGAATTTGTTTTAATGAAAAATCTCAGTTTCTCTGTCTCCCCTTTATCTTTCTCACTTACTTACCTCAGTTCTTAAATTAAGTAGGACCTGTTAAAAACTCATCATTATTCATATTTTACTTGTAATAATCAGTTGTCTTCATTTCATTTATCCAAGCTTGTTAACTTCTTCCCATGAGATGTATCACTACAGGACTATTCATTGTTCTTTACCTTTGCTTTTGCTTTCATTGTGTTTGGTATGGTAAGAAGATTTACTTTATTGGATGTAATTTTACAGTTTCGTATTGGCCCATTTACAGCTCTTATCAGAACCTATGAGCCCTAGCAGCAAATTGAGCAACTAGCAAGGGCTAAAAAATGTTTTGTGATTATTTGTCAATTTTATAATCACTGATGGTATTTAGGTATCTTTTCTTACAGTCTTTCTATGCATGTGTGTGGTGTGTGTGTGGTGTGTGTGCGTGTGTGTGTGATGTTTTTATAATCTGAGCATTTCCTGATATTCTCACATATTTCAAGGGCATAATTTTAAAAGAGCTGCATGTAGCTGTATCAACATTTATTTAATCATTTCTTTATTGTTGAACATTTAAATTATTTCTGTTTTTCTGCTTTTATAACAAATTGAAAAATCTCTATAATTCCTAAACCTTTGTGGGCCTGCCTGACTGTTTCTGTGGGATAAATTCTTTAAAAGATAATTACTTGGTCGAATATTAAGAATATTCTCAAAGCAATTGCAACAGGTGTTTAAATGCCCTCTCAAAAGGTTGTACCAATTTATGTCCCTTGGTATTTGATGTTTTTTCTATAATATGGTGCAAAATTTATCGTTGAAGTCCCTGGTATGTTTGTCTCCTTAACAATGTTCTTCTCAGAATAAGCAGGTGAGAATCACCTTTGGGTTTTCTTGCAAGAATAGTAACCAGTTTGGAATAATGATGTATCATAACAACCGACTCATAAAATCCTTTGAGAAGGTGGGGTGCCAGGTGAAGGTGAGTGGTTAATATTTCTTTGTCATAGGAGGCTGAAAAGAGTGGGAAGAGAATTTAAAATTTGCAAAGGGGATAGGCTCATTAATGGCTTTTACTCCCATCTTATGATGCTTTTTGAATTCTGATCCTGGAATTGTGTTACCAGTGAGCTGTCTTGTGTTGAAAAACTCTTTCTACCTCTCATTCTTCAGATGTTAATCAACCCAACAACTTTACTGAATACATTTTCTAAGTAGCTGTTACTAAGAGGCAGAATGAGAATACCAGCAAGTTTACCATGTGTCTCAGCTTATTTGTGTTTTAGGTAACTCTTTCCATTTTCTTGGGAAGACAATAAGGCGTAGTGAAAGGCATATAAAATATGGTGGTTGAAGACCAGGATTTGGGTCCTGAATTTTCCATTTACAAGCTGTGTAACCTTGGATAAATTGTTTAATTTATCTGAGGATCAATTTCCTGACCTATAAAGTGGAAACAACAATAATAAACATACCTGCTTTGCCTACCTCGCAGCTTACAGGGTTGAGAGATTTAAATGGGATGAATTATGTGAAAATATTTTTTAAACCACTTTATACAAATTTTACCATCATCTTTAATGTCTTAATGATTATTTAAAGTAGCAATGTCTACAAGTATCCCTTTTATTCCTGTTTTACAGATAAGATTGCTAAAGCACAAAAATGATGAACTGCTTCATCATAGTAAGACAGTTATATAAAGCCCAGGATAACTCATTTTCAGCCTATTTTGTTTTTCCTTGTTATAGCACCTTTAGACAACTCATGTTTGTGTGCCAGTCTAATTACACCTTTACTCGGTTTCTTCCGTTAAAGAATTAGAATATGATTTAAATCTATGAAACTCTTGCATCAACTTGTAATTAATAATTGCTGTGTGACTCTCTTTAGTGGTTGTTTGGTGGCCTATGTATGTGGGAAAATTGTTTATTTTAATATAGGATCACATAGCACCCCTAAAATTGTTTTCAGATGAATATTTGTTTCAGTTCCTTAGAACAGTAGTATATAACCTTGGTTTTTTAGCACGGTAATTCTTTATTCAAATGCAGTCTTATGGTAGTTCTGGAATATAAAGCAGATAAAAGTTGAGGTAGTGTGGGTGAAGTAGAGATGGCTACTAATTGCAGAAGACTCCTAGTGATCTATGGATCATATTTTGAAAATCTCTGCCCTAGAATTTGTCAGAATTTCTAGTTCAGTTTAATGCTTGCAGTCTGTTGATGTACATTCTAAGTGTTTCTCTAGATCTTGATGGTCTTTTCTTGCTCATGAACGTTATGTAACCTTTCTATTATTGTTTGGAATCAAAAGGAAATGCCTGCAGGCAGCCAACAGTAATGTAAGTGTTGAAATTAATATTTTCTTCTAAGCCAACTCGTGGAGAAGGTGTAGGAGTAATTGGAGTCATTGAGTGCAATTTCCTAAAACCTGCCTACAACAAACAAGACTTTGAGTATACCAAGGAGTACCGGTGAGTCACTCCCAACCTGAGGTGCTTCCGTTAGTTTGTTCAGATGTGATTCTATTCTCCAAAGTCTCTAAAACCATCTCTAAAAACCTGCTAAATAAGTTAACTGATAATTACTTCAAATTTGTTTTCCAAGATTAGAGATAAAATGATTTCATTTTAAATTAAAGTTTGCTGAATGATATATGGAGTCTTGTTGAGATAAACCTTACCTTTAGAAATTATGCAAAGAGCATAGGAGTAATTTGGTAAAAGATTTCTGGGGAAATGAAAAGCTTTGGAATTGATCTTAATGGAAACAGATGAATGGATCTGAAGTTGTGGAATACATTGGGTAAAAAAAAGCAGATTGAAATTTGTTCCAAAAATTTTTCTTGAAGCCAGTGAACAGATTTAGAGCAAAGTGGTGGAACAGCAGGAAAGACGTGCTTTCTTTAAAGCATCTAGATTTAATAGGGCAAGCAAACAGGTAAGATTCTGAAAGGAACTCGACATTATGGCTGAACCAGTAGGGATATTTTTAGAAGAGAAAGAAAGGAGTTTTTAAAGCCAGGTTAGAATAGTTTGTTTTAAAAATGTCAAGAGGGAAATGAGTTTTATTCGTTAAGTATTATGAGACAGCTTCTATGTGCCAGGTACTAAGGATGAAAAATAAGACTCTTCGACACCTATAAACAAATATGTATGCAAATAAGAAACTTAAATACTTATAATTGTTTAATAGGGGATATGGGCAAAGCAGGGAGAACTTTAAATATGCTTAAGGGAGTTAGGGAAGGCTTCACAAAGCAGATTATATTTGAGATTAAACCTGAAGGAAAAGTTTTCTAGGTGTACAGTAGAGGAAGGACATTCTAAGCAGAGGGAAGTATCTGTAAGCGCAAAAAAGGATAAGGGGTATTCTGGGAGTCTGGAGAAAGAAGGCATGAGGACATTTGCTGTCATTTTCCCTGAAGTCTCAGTAGCAAATATTTTTCTTAGAGTGGGAGAAAAGAAATCTCCGAAATCTCTTTTGTTTTGTGCCCAGACTGTAATGAAGTCAAGTCTTGTATCTTAATTTGTCTGGAACCGCAAGAATTTTAGGTTTATTGTTTGAGAGAGATAACTATTTGAATGGCAACTCAAAATTAATTTCAGGGTAATTGGTTCATGGTCACTTGGGCTACTCAGTGGTTATGACAACTACCTGCCCTCAGTCTAAGTAAAATGGTCATTTAAATATAAATCTGGCCCATAATGGAAATCTTTGGCCAGGACTTGACTCTTAAGAGTGAAAGCTTAGGAATGACATTAGTTTGACAAAAGTATCCGAGTCAAGTTTTTATGTTTCAGTTGAATGAAAAGAATAGTGAATTGCTGATGACTACCTAAATAATTAAGATTTGTGAAATTCAAATGTTAGATATTAAAAATTATTTAACATCTTTCTATATCATCTTTGCCACCAACCCCCCAAATCTACCTTTAAAATTTTATAGGCATTAGACCTTTGGCTTTTGATGTCTAGTTTTGGTATGATGAGGTGATTGCAGTGGATCAGATAGAGATAGTCTGTAGACAGTAGATTTATTCAGTTGAACACACAGGATTTCTGACTTAGCATAACATCTGCTACACACTTTATTAAAAACAGAGAACTAGTATACTATTCTGCATATAGTCTTTTGAGAATAACAAATTTGCATAACTCTTGTGCCAATTCTGGCACCTTTGCCCTTTTTTATTCAATTTATTTTATATAAAATGAAAAGGTATTTAAATTAAAAAAACAGGAATTTAAGAGAGGGATTAGAGAAGGTTGTCTGCTATAACAAACTCATCCTATGAGTATTATAGATATCAAAACCTGCAAATGATAAAAGAGATACCAGCCATCATACTGCTGGAATGTCTACAAATAAATCATCTGTAATATCACTTTTAACAGTTGTGGAGCTTACAGACATTTGTATAAACAGATTGTAACATATATGAAGTAATTTGGTGAGCAATAAAAAAGCTCTTTGATCAATCAAAGCCTAAGTAGCATGTTATGGGGAAAATGCCTTGATAGAGGAGATGGGGAAGGTTTTGGGTAGAAAGTATGACTTGAGATGTGCCTCACATGTTACAAGACATGGAAGAGAGGAAAGGGAATTCTAAGATGGAATTGTAGCATGAGCTAAGGTACTGACAGGAACTCAGAATTGGTAAGAATATGGGGAGGAGAGATAACGGGATATAACTAGAGTGAAGGCAAATCAAGTTAAATGGGTAGAGTAGAGCCATACCCTAGAGGAGCAGTTGGCAAACTTTTTCTGAAAAGGGCTGGAAGGGGTCACAACTACTCAATTTTGCTGTAGTATGAAAGCAGCCATAGACAATAAGTAAAGGAATCGGCATGGCTATGTCTAATATAATTTTGTTTACAAAAACAGGCAGTGGGCTGGATTTGGCTCCAGTTTGCTGACCCCTGTTCTAGAACCATCATTCCTAAATTACATGCTAAGCTACACATAATGAATTCATAGGAGAGCCATGAGGTATTTTATATCTTTGAGGGAAATATAGTGATACTCAACTTCTGTCTATAAACCACAGAAATTGTCTTCTATTGCTGTCATAACAAATAACCACGTAACTTAGTGGCTGATAACAATACTAATTTACTGTAGTAGCGTGCTGTAGGTTAGATGTCCTACACAGATCTTACTGGGTTATAATCGAGGTATTGGCAGGGCCGCATTCCTTTCTGGAGGCTCTAGGGAAGAATCCAGTTTCCTGTCTTTTCCAGCTTATAGAGGCTGCCAGCATTTCTTGCCCATGGCCTTCTTCCTTCACCTTCAAAGCTAGCAGTGACAGGTTGAGTCCTCATATTGCATCACTCTGATGACCTTACTTTTGTCATCACATCTTCTCTGATTCTGACTCTTCTGCTGCACTCTTCTACTTCTAAGGTCCCTTGTGATTACATTGGATAATTCAGGATATTCTTTCTGTCTTAAGGTCAACTTGATGAGTAACCTAAATTTCCACTTGCTGTGTAAACATTATGTTTATCACAGTCTTCCCTTTGTTCTCTCAGATTCCACTTACATCTCATATGCAAAATATGTTCACCCCATCCCAACGTTTCCAAAAGTCTCCACCCATTATAGCATCAATGCAGGGTCAAAAATTTCATGTAAATGTCATCAACTAAAAAGTCTCAAATCTCATTATCTAAATCACATAAGGGCGATACTCTGAGTATGGTACATCTTCGGGCAAAACTCCTCTACATCTGAGGATATGTATTTTCTTTTTTTGTATTTTGCTGTTAAAATACAGTGGTGGGACAAGCATAGGATACTAATTATATATATTCTTTTTCAAATAGGGGAGAAACTAAAAGGAAAAAAGGGGTCACAGGTCCCAGGCATTTTCAAAAATCTAGCCATGCACATTCCATTAAATTTCAAGGCCTTCATCCTCTAGTCTTGAGGCTTTGCTCTCTGGGCTTATGATTCCACCCTCAAAGTTGACTTTCCTTTTTCCTGAAGGGTAGCATGTGTTTGCAGCTGAGTAGTTTCATCAGCCTGTTTCCTGACTGTAGAATTTTAAGGGTCCAACAGGCTTCTCTCCATCCCTTTCAATTCAAGCTAGCTTTTTGTTTTGTTTTGTTTGTTTATTTGTTTTTGAGATGGAGTTTTTCTCTTGTTGCCCAGGCTGGAGTGCAGTGGCACTCCACTGCAACCTCCCCGTACTGGGTTCAAGCGATTGTCCTGCCTCAACCTCCAGAGTAGCCGGGATTACAGGCATGCACCACCACGCCCGGTTAATTTTGTATTTTTAGTAGAGACGGGGTTTCTCCATGTTGGTCAGTCTGGTCTTGAACTCCTGCCTCAGCCTCCCAAAGTGCTGGGATTTCAGGTGCGAGCTACCGCGCCCAGCCTCAAGCTAGCTGTCATGCTAGTATGCCACTCTTAAGAATCTTGTGAGTCTCCCATGTATGTCATGTATATTCATGTCATCCAACAAGAGGCTCTGGGCAGGTCTTTCCTGGGGAATCCTATATCTGTTTTTTGGCTTCAGCTGGAGATGGCTGTGGAGATCTGTGAGTCATATGCTTTATCTTTCTTATTATTATTATACTTTAAATTCTGGGTTACATGTGCAGAATGTGCAGTTTTGCTACATAGGTATACATGTGCCATGGTGGTTTGCTGCACCCATCAACCCATCACCTACATTAGGTATTTCTCCTAATATTATCCCTGCCCTAACCCCACACCCCCTACAGGCCCCAGTTTGTGATGTTCCCCTCCCTGTGTCCGTGTGTTCTTGTTCAACTCCCACCTGAACATGTGGTGTTTGGTTTTCTGATCTTGTTATAGTTTGCTGAGAATGATGGTTTCCAGCTTCATCCATGTCCCTGCAAAGGACATGAACTCATCCTTTTTTATGGCTCCTTAGTATTCCATGGTGTATATGTGCCACATTTTCTTAATCCAGTCTATCATTGATGGACATTTGAGTTGGTTCTAAGTCTTTGCTATTGTGAATAGTGCCGCAATAAACATAATGTGTGCAAGTGTCTATAGCAGCATGATTTATAATCTTTTGGGTATATACCCAGTAATGGGATGGCTGGGTTAAATGGTATTTCTAGTTCTAGATCCTTGAGGAATTGTCACACTGTCTTCCACAATGGTTGAACTAATTTACACTCCCACCAACAGTGTCAAAGGGTTCCTATTTTCCACAACCTCTCCAGCATCTGTTATGTCCTGACTTTTTAATGATTGCCATTCTAACTGGTGTGAGATGGTACCTCATTGTGGTTTTGATTTGCATATCTCTAATGACCAGTGATAATGAGCATTTTTTTCATATGTCTGTTGGTTGCATAAATGTCTTTTGCGAAGTGTCTGTTCATATCCTTTGCCCATTTTTTGACGGGGTTGTTGATTTTTTCCTTGTAAATTTGTTCAAGTTCTTTGTAGATTCTGGATATTAGCCCTTTGTCAGATGGATAGCTTACA